AACTACATGATCCGGGTGCTGTGCTGCAGTGTGAGCCACTGCCAGGGGCCGACCACCACTGCAGGCTCACCCCCCACACCACGGCCTGCCACCACTGCCAAACTCTCTAGTACTGCCATAACCACTTCTTTGGTTTCTCCTAGTACCCTCAGCCACACTTCAGCTATTTCCACACCCACTGGTACTTCCAAAGAGAATCTGTCCTCCTCTCTGCTGAGTAGCAGCACTACAGTCATCTCTACTCCACTCTCCAGTTCCACGGGCTGCAAACCTCAATGTACCTGGTCAGATTGGCTGGACCACAGTTCACCCATCCCTGGGAGTTCTGGAGGGGAATTTGAGACCTATGCCAACATCAGAGCAGCTGGAATTGCTATATGTGAAAAGCCCCTGCACTTAGAATGTGATGTTGCTGACCATGTGCCTCAGCAGGAGTTGAATCAGGTGATCAACTGCAGTTTGAGCTTTGGTCTGGTGTGCAGGAACCTGGACCAGCCGGGGCCCTTTAGTGTATGCCTCAACTACCGCATCCGTGTGCTTTGCTGTGATGACTATAGTCACTGCCCTAGTACCCCTTCCAGCACCCGAACGTCAGCACTGTCCTGGTCGACCCATAATCCTCTGGTCCCTTTCACAACCACAGTGGCCTCAAGCACTGAGTCCACCTTTCAGACCAAGCATTCCTTCAGCTCCCCAGTTCCAAGTACCCAAGCATCCACAGGGGCCACACTTACTGACTCGGGCTGTGCACCTCAATGCACATGGACAGACTGGTTTGATGCAGACTTCCCTAATCCTGGTCCCAGAGGCGGGGACTTTGAGGTCTATGCAGTGCTACGTGAGGTTGGCTTTGTGTTCTGTGAGCAGCCCAAGGACATCCAGTGCCGCTCTGAGAAGGAACCAGACAAGCCCTTGGAAACTCTAGAGCAGGTGGTCCAGTGTGATGTGCGATTTGGACTGATATGCAAGAATATCAACCAATCGGGGCCTTTGCAATATTGTGACAACTACCATGTGCGCCTCCTCTGCTGTGATAACACCACCCACTGTACCACCCCACCCATGGCCACCCCCTCCACTGTTCCTTCTACCTCTACCGTGTTGTCCACTCACACTTCCCCAACCTCAAACACCATGACTTCTTCCCCTGTGGCCACCAACTCCACTGTGCCCCACTCCTCTTCCCTAGTGCCCACTCCCACCTCTCCAGTTCTGACCACTGCAACTTCACCTGGAGCCACGGGCCCTACTGCAGCCCCCTCCTCCACTGCAGAGACCACCCACACCCCTGAACTTTCCTCCAGTAGTCAGGTGACCTTCAGCATGTCTACTGTTTCCCCCGTGCGCCTCAGTACCCTTAGATCTACTGTCTTTTCCAGTCAATCAGTTTCCCCGTCACCCTGTTTCTGCCGGGCATTTGGACAGCTCTTTTTACCTGGTGAGTAGAAAAATCCATGTTTTCCCTACCTCATGTCCCTTGTCCCCTGGGTCTGTCAGCCTTGGGAGCTATGAGCCCTTTCATGCATGTAAAGTTCAGTCTATGCCATCTCTGGATAATCTTCTCCCTCAGGCAGGCTACCCCTATGTCTCCCCCGATGCTACCGTGCCTCTTCAGATAGGGTGTGGCTATGTCTTTCTGTCTTTTTTTCCTTCTACAGGAGATGTCATCTACAATAAGACTGATGGAGCTGGCTGCCAATTCTATGCCACCTGCAACCAAAACTGTGAGCTTGACCGCTTCCAAGGTGCCTGTCCCTCCTCTTCACCTCCAGTGCCGTCTACCCATGTACCTTTGTCTACCCTGCTTCCTGGCTGTGATAATGCCATCCCTCCCCGGCAGGTGAGCCTCCCTTCTCCCTCCACCTCCCTCTGATGTGGTGTGGATATGGGTTCTCAGGAACAAATGCATTTGGGTTGAGTCATGGCTAATGTCCACCTAAAGCACCACCTCAACCATGTAGCCTATCTCAGTGACCCATCTTCCAGTGGCTCCTGTTGAGAGAGGCGCATGAGATCTGGGGTTTTGATCAGCAGAAGCTGGCTGCCTTCTGTGATTCATATCTGTAGGGACCTGGGGGTCCAGAAAGGACAGAACTTGGATCTCCACATGACCTCAAGGTGAACACCCTGCATGTCTTCTGCCTCAGGTGAATGAGTCCTGGACCCTGGAGAACTGTACAGTGGCTAGGTGCCAGGGAAATAACCAAATCATCCTTGAAGAGCCAGAGCCTGTGGACAATGTCACCTGTGTCAACAAGCACTCGCCCATCAAAGTGTGGGACCAGGAGCCTTGCCACTTCCACTATGAGTGCGAATGTGAGCAGAGGGCGGGCACGGGACAGTCCAGCAAGATGGGACAGGATTGAGGCATCTGATCTCAGCGTGTCAGTCTCAAACAGCACATGTAAATGCTGTGCCAGCCTGTGGGCATTGTATGCACAGGGATGCTGGTAACATGAATGGGGCAGAGGAAGGGGCTGTGTGACCAGGAAGGGGTAGGGTGCAGAAAGCCACAATGGAAGTCCTTTCTTGCGGTCCTGATGACAACTTCTATTAGTGAGTGTTAAGTGACTCAAACTTGGGACTTAGAACAGCAAACTCAGGGTCTCACATTTCTGAGCTAGAGTCATATCAAGACAGGCAAGGCATCTCTGTGGAGAACCCTTCTTGACTTTCCCAGTTAAGGGCTACAGAGTCCTTGGCTTGTGGCTTCATCACTCTATTCTGCTCCATGTCTCTCTCTCCTGCCATTTCTAAGTATACTATCATCAGGTTCAAGGAACACCCAGGTAATTTGGGATTATTCCATTTTAAGACCAACACCATATTCACAATTCCCCAGGTAGATATGATTTGGGAGATAACTACTTTGTAGATGAAGCAACTGTGTTCCCCTGAAGGAACCATCCAGAGGTGGTGCTGGGTAACAGGGCTGGGAAGGGAGCCTTCAACTGTAGTCTCCCGTAGGCTTCTGCAGTGGATGGGGGCAGTCACACTACCTGACATTTGATGGCACCTCCTATACTTTCCTGGACAACTGTACCTCGGTGCTCATGAGAGAGATCCACCCTCGCCATGGCAACCTGAGCATCCTTGCTCACAGCTACTACTGTGGGGCTACTACCAATGCCACCTTCTGTCCCCGTGCCCTCAGTGTGAACTACAACTCTATGGAGATTGTCCTCACCATCACCACCACTGGCAGTGGGAAGGAGGAGAGCCTGGTGAGTCTTCTGGCAGGTAGAGCCCCAAGGCCATATTGCAAGCATGGGGCAACACAGGCAAAGATGAAAAGCCCTCAGGACCAAGAGTATTCTCCCCTCTGCAGATATGACCTGTAGGAGCTTTGCTAGGCAAAGAGTAAATGCCTGGCTCTAGATTGAGGAATAGAATGTCCTTAGTGTTTGGCAAAGAAGCATCCACTGCTGCCTAGTTGGCTCCCTGGTTACTGTTTTCCTCTGGACATCCCTAGGTCATATGGGACCAAATGTTGATAAACTCAGGCTACAGTAAGAATGGTGTGACAGTGTCCTTGAGCGGCACCACCACAATGAGTGTCAACATTTCCACCATTGGCACCAGCATCAGTTTTGATGGGCACATCTTCCAGATATGGTTACCCTACAGATACTTCAGCAACAATACTGAGGGCCAGTGTGGTGAGTAGGCATGGCCAGGCTCATTCTGCATTCCTAAGTCGGGGGAAGGAATGAGTCTATGGAAAACAGCAAGAAACTGATTGTAACCTCTACCCTATTCACCAGGTACCTGCACCAATAGCCAGACAGATGACTGCCGCCGGCCAGATGGCACCATAGCTTCCAACTGCCAGGACATGGCCAGACACTGGCTGGTTCCCGGGAACAGCAACAACAGCTGCTTAGCTCAGCCTAGCCCTGCCCCGAGCACCACTTCCCAGCCCCCAGTATCCAGCACATCCACCTCTACCCCATGTCCCACTGCACCCCTCTGTCAGCTGATGCTGAGCCAGTGAGTTGGCCTTTGGGGTGGTGGGCTTGGGCAGTCCCCTTGGCTAACCTCCCTGCTGGGTTCTGAGCTCCCAGTCCTGACCACTCATTGCCATAGGGTCTTCGCTGAGTGCCACAGGCTCATCCCTCCAGATACCTTCTTCAGTTCCTGTGTCAATGACCACTGCAATGCCAATGTTACTGACATGCTCTGTCAAAGCCTGGAGGCCTATGCAACACTCTGCCGGGCCCGGGGTGTGTGCATCAACTGGCGCAATGCTACTGAAGGGCTATGTGGTAAGTAGGGAGTATCCAATTTGTCAGGACCCCAGTCTCCTTGGTCCTTCCAAACATGTCTGATGATGCTCTCTGCACCCACAGACCTCTCCTGTCCACCCACTAAGGAATACAGGCCTTGTGGACCCCTGCATCCAGCATCCTGCAGCTCCAGGTGAGTACAATCTAAGTAATAGTATAGCAGCTGGCCTTCCATGTCTGAAGGGTCTAAGCTCTGGGACCCCCACGACTGGCTCTTGGAGGTATCACCTCATTTCTGATCCTCACTCTGCTGCTTGCCCCTCCTCACACTAGGACCATGAGTATTTCAACTGAGATGCTGGCAGAGGGCTGCTTCTGCCCTGAGAATCAGCTCCTCTTCAACTCCCGCATGGACATCTGTGTGCAGGAGTGTCGTAAGTGCCATTTACCTACCATGGGACAAGCCTTGTCCTGCCCCTGTCCCCCATAGGGTCCTCACCTGCCAGGCCAGGCCAAGATCCAAGACATCTGCAGACCCTCTTCTGCCTGACTAGTATGTGAGAGGAGCCTGGAGCAGATGTCTAAAGGCCTTCTGTGAGCCGGCCACCATTCTGTCTAAACTCTGCTGCTTGAAGCTGGCCAGAGAAGCTGCCTTCCTTTGCCAAGCGCTAGACTCTCAACATCCAACTTCACTACCGCTTCAGGGACTTGACACCCTCAGAATTCTCTAGGGCCTTCTGCTCCACCCTGGGAGAAGACAGAGGTCTTGGCTTGGGGTACAGGTGGCCAGGACTAAGCACAGTTCTCTCAACCTATGATCCCCTTCTGCATGGCCTTGAACCCCAGTATCTCCAGTAACAGTTTTTTCGGTTTTTTTCCAGCCTGCGTGGGACCTGATGGGCTGCCCAAGTTTGTGAGTGGTGCTGTTCCCCTGCCCCCACTTGAGCTCAAGAAGAGGAGGGAGGAAGGAGGGAGGGTGGCTGACTCCTCATAGCCCAGGAGGCTGACGTGGGGCTCCTGGGCTTCCTTCCTGCTCTCACCCTGGACAGCAGAGGGCTAACCTGCTGAGGGCAAACAAGGACTTGGAGTTGAGTGCAGGCAGAGAGGCCAGGGACTTTAGAACCTCAGAGCCTTCAGAGATCTTGACTTGGCCTGTTTCAGCCGGGAGAACACTGGATCAGCAACTGCCAGTCCTGTGTGTGCGACCCCAGCTCTGTGTCGGTACACTGTGAGCCAGTGCAGTGTGAGAGCCAGGAGCTCCCACAGTGCACAAAAGCTGGCTTTGTGACTGTGACCAGGCCCAAGGCAGACAATCCATGCTGCTCCGAGACAGACTGTGGTGAGCACCTACTGGGAACACAGGAGAGACATACTCTAGCTTAGCTACACTGGACCATTTAGGTGGGGGATGTCTCAAGATGCTTCAGCTTTTGACCTAAAAGTACCACTGGTGACCTCTGGTCTGACCTAACAGAACAGACACTTGGTAAGGACCAAGGAAATGAAAGAGTGAGGGAATCTTATGACACCCAGAAAAGTCATGAAGCCTACTAAGTCTCAAAGAAAAATGACACTAGAGGCTAGTATTTCCCGAAAGGGAGAAGATTGGGGGGGGGGGGGAGGGAGGACAAAATGGGCAGTATCCTGACATGGCCATTTCTCTACAGTCTGCAATACAACCACCTGCCCCAAGAGTCTGTCCAAGTGTGAGCCAGGGCATGAACTGATCCGTATCTACGAGGAGGGCAGCTGCTGCCCCAGCTCCATCTGCCGTGAGTAGGAATGGGGCTGAAGCGTAGGGAAGTGTGCACTGAGACTGGCTGCAGGGGAGTTCAGGGATGGGGAGGAGCCAGGGTTTCTGCTCCACTGCCCAGATGTGTAATCAACCCCCTTTCCTTTCAGGACCCATGATGTGCACACACAATGACACCCTCTATGGGGTAAGGGCTCAGCCCAGGCAGGGTGAACAGCAGGGGTAGGCCGAGGTGGGTGGGAAGTCCATGTACCCCAGTTCCTGATCCTTGCCATAAAGGTAGATCTGGAGATGGGGTCTGGGCCCTTAAGACATAGAACATAAGGCCATTGTGTGTGTGTGTGTGTGTGTGTGTGTGTGTGCGCGCGCGTGTGCGCATGCAGGAGCTGTGGAACGAGAGGTTACCACATCTGCTACATCTGAGTGGTCAGCTTCTGAGTCTCCCAGCTTACTGCTGTCCCCACCCACTGAATATCTGTGTTCGACTATGGAAACAATTACACTGTGGGGAAAAGAACTGGGCCCATGGACATGTCTGGACTCAGCTGAGTCGATCTGATATGTGCTCACCCCTGCCCCCACCTTCTCTTAGAGCTGCTCTCCTCATCTGCTCTAGGTTGGTGCAAACTTCCCAGGGGATGTTCCCTGCCAAACATGCACCTGCTTCTCTGTGGGCAATCAAGAACCAAAAGTAGAGTGTAGAAAGATCCTTTGTACCACCTCCTGCCCCCAGGTGAGTCTGTGGCCCAGCAGACATCTTGAGAGGCTACCCATGGAAGTCCATCATTGAGAGTTTTCCAATTCACTATAATTTTGAGGTCTTGTTTCTTTTCTAAATGGAAAAGTAGGAGATGATGAGGACTGGAGGACAGGTCCTGCAGGTTGATGAGCTGACTAGAAACAGATCCAGTATGGTACCAGTAGACCAGCAGTTCTCAACCTGTGGGTCAGGACCCCATTGGGGTTGAATGACCCTTTCATAAGGGTCACATATCAGATGTTCTGTATGTCAGATATTTACATTACAATTCATTACAGTAGCACAATTACAGTTATGAAGTAGCAACAAAATAATTGTATTGTTGGGGGTCACCATAACATAAAAAACTGTATTAAAGGGTCACAATCTTAGGAAGGTTAAGAACCACTACAGTAGACAAAGAGGCTAAGAAGCAGGGTAAGCTAAGCTGCAAGACCTGGGAAGGGGGTATAACACAGAACAAAGACATAACCTCTCAGGAGTTCCTGCCAAGGAGGCTCAGGACCCTTAGAAGGATGGCTGGGATGAATGAGAGACCTGACTACCTCTCCTGTCCCCACAGGGCTTTAAGTACACGCTGGTGTCAGGGCAGTGCTGTGGCGAGTGTGTACAGGATGCCTGCTTCACGCCAGAGGGCCAGGCAGTGAAGGTAATTGGAGATAGTGCAAGAGATCCTCCCCTGAGCAGGTCTCATCCACAACTGGGTTCCTGTCTGGACCTCTATTGTGTGTTTTGATTTCAGCCCAGTGAAACCTGGGTGAACAGCCACGTGGACAACTGCACGGTGTACATCTGTAAGGCTGAGAATGGAATCCATGTACTGACTCCACTCCCCATGTTATGCCCTGATGTGTCCAACTGTAAGGTATGTATCTGAGAGGCACTGCCTTTGGGTGGTTCACCCTTGTCATGCCCCTGGAAGGTTCTGACCCAAGAAGTCTGTGTTTCCATGGCTTCTACCCCGTATCCTGGCTCTGTCCCAGTTCTATTCTGCTCTGTTCTTGGCCCTGCAGGGAACCATAAGGAAAATAGGTTGCTGCTACTCCTGTGAAAAAGAAGGTAAGTTGAAGATAACTCTCATCTAGTCCTCCAGCTCCATCCAGTTCCCACCAAAAGCAATCCAAGTTTTTCCCATGAGTGGCAGATTCCACCAAAGTCCCAGGCGGGTTGCCCAGGAAAGGTGTGTCAGTTACTTCTCTCACTGCTGTGAGACTGTGACAAAATACCAGACAAAATCAGTTTAAGGAAGGCTTTCTTTGCCTCATGGTTTGAGTGTACAGTCCCACCATGTTGGGGAGACATGGCAGCAACAGAAGCAGATGGTCATATATGTCTGCAGCCAAGAAGCAGACAGGGATAAAAGCTGGGGCACACTTTTTCCTTTTCAGTCAGTCTGAGGCCCTAGCCCATGGGAGGTCCTGCCCACATTCAGGGTGGGTCTTCCCTCAGAAGTTAGTTTAATCTAAACAATCTCTCAATCTCTTTGTCTTTTAAGTGACTCTGGATCTTGCTGAGTTGGCGGTCAATATTAACCACCACAGAGGGCCAGTCTTACCAGGTCCAGGGTCTCTGAGTTAGGGTCTATGGTCTCTGCAATGGCCTGTCTTTTTTTGTAGACCCAAGTACATGTCAAGTACGTGTAAGCACAACCATCCTGCGGCATAAGGGCTGTGAAACAGAGATGGCAGTCAACGTCACCTTCTGCGAGGGTTCCTGCTCTGGAATGTCCAAGTGAGTGGGGGGGGGCCTTACCTCCCCAAGAGTGTAGCAGAACCAGTTGCTACCTTGTCACCTTAGGTCTTACAGAGACTGTCTCCTTCTTGGTGTCCTTCTGGACCTTCTGGACACAGAGGTCACACATACCTGTCGGCATAAAATAAATGGCCCATTTCCCAGTCATGTCAGGGGCAAACCTTGCTTAGCTGTACAGAATTAGGTTTTCTCCATGGACTTGTGTCCAGGAATCTGAAAGTGTCTAGGAAAACAGGTAGCATCAGATCCCTCTGTGGTCCCCAGATGGCCCCAGGCTGCAGTCAGCTGTGAACAGGAGTGGTCAGGAAAGTTGAAGAATCTGTGGTTAGAGTAGGCAGGAGGAAGGGTACCAGGTTGGCTCCAGGACTTAAGGTGACTGTCCAGAGGAAGAGTCTCAATAGGGTCAGCAGGATGGAAGGAAAGGGGAATCATGGGAGGTGATGCAAGATGAAGGTGGTTTTTAAAAATGCCCAGGAAGGGCAAGGCTGTGTGTTCAAGAAAGTAGTCATGGTGGATAGACAGACAGCTTTCAAGAGCCCACAGAGGACCATGAATCACTGTACTGCCAAGAGGATCATGGATGGGAAACGCTGACCTCCCATGCCCACAGGTACTCCTTGGAGGCCCAGGCCACGGAGCATCAGTGCACCTGCTGTCAGGAGAGCAAGGTCCATGACGTAGCTGTGGCCATGCAGTGTCCCAACGGTACAGTCATCCAACACACCTATACCCACGTCGATGAATGCAGCTGTGCCCTGGCCTGCAGTTCCCTGCCCATGGCATCCATGAACACTCCCTAAAGCCCAGTGCTGGAAGGCAATTGCATCCCCCAACCCCTCATGTCCCTCCACTTGGAGCAGAACCTGCACAACTGACAATGAAAACCTTAGGCATGCATGCTCCATGTGGCCCACAAGGACCCTCTGTGGTTCCCACTGCCTCTGTTCCACCCTCTGCCTGCCATGTGGTGAAGCCAGCATCATGGAGGGTAATGGGACAATTAAGATCCGCTTGAGGAGGGTGCCAGGGGAGGATTTGGCCCTTGGAGACCCTCTTGACTGTCTTGGCTCATCCTCTGTGGTGACATATAGATGTCTTGGAGAAAAACAGAAAGCCTGTGGCTATACGACTCCCCACAGCAAGGCTGTGTGCCCTTTATCACATAAAGAAGCCCTTTGCCAGTCATCTCAAGTAAACACAGGCGGATGGGACTGTCCAAGAAAGACAAGCTACCAGAGAGCTGTGTCAGGCAAGATAGCTGCCTGCTGGAGGGGCCCTGAGAACTGGGGTTAGAGAGGGGCCTGTGCTCACCCAGCCCGAAGCTGTAATAAACCCTGGCACTGTGTGTTTCTTCCTGGTGTCTCTTCCTGTCCACTCTGCATGGCTCCCTGCTTATGGTCTGGAGTTGCCAGGGATGAAGCTAGAGCTATCAACAGGAACATGAGGGATGAGAGACTGGCTAAGAGAAATAGGGGAGAGGTACCTGTCCATTGGCTGGACACTGAGAGCATGGGCAGGAGCAAGGTCAGCCAGGGAACCACATACCAGTTTAGCTGCCACAGAACCCAGGGGCAGCATCAGGGCATCCTAGACAGACAGAGGAGCCTGTTGGCTAAGGAGGCCATCCTAGCACCCATCAGTGTCTGGTGGCTATAATGGACAGAAAAGAAGGGTATCCTGCATTGCTCAGACCCCAAGGGGGCTGTGACTGCAGTGGTGCTGGGACCCCAGGTCCTGTTCTGCCTCCTCAGGTGCACTATATTCAAGATACCTGTGAATTATTGGTTTACCATACAAGTGTCTATCCTTGGTGCCTTTCTTTCCCTTCCTCTGTCCAAAATGGGGAACATTCTATAGCGTGGCAGGGAGCCACAGGAGCCAGGGAAATGTGGAGCTCTATGTCTTGGGTTCTAGAAGTAGGCAGGAAGGAAGCATTTCAAGAGGAATCCTACATGTGGTGTGGGACAGAGAATGTCCTGGCTTCACTGTGCAGGAAGGATACAAGATGACCTTCAAATGTACAGAATGTGGTCAATGGTGGGGCTGTGACCTAGGAAGATAAGAACACAGTGGCTAGCTAAGGCCCCAAAAACCTCTGGAGAAGTAAGTAGAGGGGTCCTGCTAAGGGCTTGGGCTATCAAGTGGATGCCAACAGACTCAGTATGGCAGAGCTCCTGTACCTGGCCCTGGGGTCCAGGATCTGGCTAGTGAACCTGCCTTTCACATGCATTTGCTGAGGTCTGCCAGGCAGGCAACCCCTAGGGAAACATGGTCCAGAGACCGACAAGACAACAGGTGTGTTGTGGGACAGCAGAAGGCTACTGAGGCCAGCTTCTTTCTCCAAGCTCACCTTTGATCTCATGGTGTGGCTTCTAGGACAGAAAATTCCAGTCCCTGTCCTTATGAAATCACATCAAAATGTTGTTTCTTCAACCTTTCAAGCACCATTACTGAAGTCAAGAGCATCACTAGACAGAGACACTCTTAAGTGTGGAGGTCTTCCATGTCTGGGGACGCTCCTGACTATGGCCATATATACAGTGTGGTCCTCTTTACCTGTCAGTAAACAGGCACAAAGAGATGAAGAGCTTTAGCAGGAAGCAAGGCCTGATCCAGTCAGAGTGGCAGACTTAAGAGTTCACTCTGAAAATACAAGGGCTGACCTGGACCCACAGAGAATCACAATGAGACACAATGAGGAAACCACGGCTCTAGGTGCACTTCAAATATATTCTAAGAGGGTTTCTGCCCCCTAGATGGGAGAGTGGACATCTCTTCCCCACAGACTGAACAAAATAAACTGCAACTAAACCACTAAACTAAGTGGATTAAGCTGAAAGCAGACATCCCTGTGAAAGAAAAAGACATTAGCAATTCACCAACAATGACAGGGCAGCAGGCAGCTCAGGGGTCCACATCAGGAGGCCCAACACCCTTACTTGTAGGAATGTACACTTAGCTCCTAAATCACCAAGCCTCTGGGTCCCCAAGTGAGGCAGAGGTCAGTAAATAAATAAATAAATAAATAAATAAATAAATAAATAAAGGATCAAGCACCAGGCACTCAGATTTGCAAGTAAGACAGGGTGCTTTCAAAGAAATGATTTCAGATTATTGTCAATATAGCTGAAGCTTCCCCAAAGGAAAGAACTGAAAGGGAGCTGAGTGAGATGGTACAGAACTGTAATGCCGCACTCTAGAGATTAAGGCATGAGGAGGCTAACCTGGGCTATATAGTGAGACCATCACCCCCTCCATATAAAAAGAGAGAGAGAGAAAAAAAAAAGAAGGCTGTCTAGAGATGAGTACCAGAACGTTCTTGCTGGGGTTACAATCACAAGGAAGGAAGGGTGCTGCTCAGCCTGGGGAAAACTGTCGCATGTAGGATAATTCTTTTTGCTTCCACATTTCCACCAAGCAACTTTTCTTAAAAACAAACAAACAAACCAAAAAAACAATCTTTTCTCATTTTACACACCGATCCCAGTTCCCACTCCCTCCCCTCCTCTCGCTTCCCGCACTTTGCCCCACCCCATCCCCCATCCACTCCTCAGAGAGGGTAAGGCTTCCCATGGGAAGTCAAAAAAGTCTGGTACATCAGTTTGAGGTAGAACCAAGCACCCTCCCTCCAATATCTAGGCTGATATTGAATCTCTCCCAAGAAAATGGGCTCCAAAAAGCCAGTTCAAGCACTAGGCTTGTCCCACAGAATGCCCCAGCCACACAACTGTCACCAACATTCAGAGGGCCTAGTTTGGTCCTATGCAGGTTCCCCCACTGTCAGTCCAGAGTTAGTGAGTTCCAACTATGGGGGCCATCCTAATTTAGACCTCCACAGTTTCAGTCAATGCCTGTTCCTCAAAGGATGTGTGATTCAGCAGCAGAATGCTTGTCTAGCATACATAAGTCTGTCCATAGGCTCATATATTTGAATGTTTGGTTCCTGGTTGTTTACAAAGGGTTTACTACTTTGTTGTAGGAGATATGATACTGAGGGTAGGCTTTGAGATTTCAAAAATCCATGCCAGGCCCAGGCTCTCTTTCTCTCTGCCTCCTACCTGCAAATCAGCTACAGCTGTCACACCAAGCCTGCTGGCTAGCCTGACTGCTACCACATCTCCACCATAATGACATGAACTTACTTCTGAAACAGCTTCCAATTAAATGCTTCCTTTTATAAGCTGCCTTGGTCATTGTCTTTTCAGAGCAATAGGATAATAGTAACTCAGAAAACTCAGACAGAGGTAAAAGAACTTAAAAATTATATATGCATTAGAAGAAAACATGGGTAAGTTTCCTTAAAACCTGAAAAAAAGGCCCTTTCTCACTGTTCCTCTGAAGGGGCAGGCAGAACTTTTCCTGTCTCTTCTCTTTTCTCTCTCCCATTCTCTATTCCCTTCCTGTAGTGGCATTTCAATTGTATTTTAATAAATAAAGTCTGACTGATGATCTGAGAGTAAAACAGTCCTACTGGTCAGCTTTATAGACCAGGTTATGGTAGCACACATCTTTAATCCCTGTAGTCACAAGGACACACACCCTTAATCCCAGTAGCCACCCAAGTTGCCACAGAAATCGAGTGATACATGCCTTTAATCCCAGTGGTGCACACCTTTGATTCTAGCCCTAGAGACAATTATAAGATGGGAGCAGATAGCTCTCATCATAGTCTCATTCTGAGATTCCGGGAGGCGGGATCGCCATTTCAGACTGAGTTTGAGGTAAGAGCCAGTGGCTGGCTGTTTTGTTTTTTGGATCTTCAGTTTGAACCCCAATTTCTGACCCTAAGTTTTTATTAAGTGTGCAACACCTTCCAATTCCCTTTACCTCAAATAAACTTCACTCAAGTTCTAAAAACAAACAAACAAACAAAAAGAAAGAAAATGCTTTCCTAACTGTGAATAAAAATGTGGAAACAACACAGAAAAAGAAGCCGAGAACAGAGAAGAGACTCAGAGGAAAGCAACAAATGTTCCTCAAATGCACAGAACCTGCTCAGTCTTGCTCCAGGTCAGAGAAATTCAGGTAACAGCGGGCTGCTAGTGCCTACCGGGGAGTCACAGAATCTGGGGAGGTATGCACATCCCAGTTCTATCCTGGGCTTATTATTGCATCACCTAGGGATCTGTCCCTAACATAAACATGTCACAGCCACATTGGGAACAACAGCAAAGTTCCCAGGAAGACACACTACAGCAGTATGGTTTGCAGCTGAAAAGAGGATGTCTGGATGGCAGCTGGGGTCTTCTGGGAACTTAAGCAAATATTCAGGAGAGGGGAAAGAGGCTGAATCTGTGTAGATTGCTGATACTCAGTATACACTGTATCAAGGAAGGACACTGAGATGGGTACCTATAGCAGAAATCCCCTATGGGGTGGTGGTGACGAGAATTCAATCTCTGTGGATCGATCTTTACACTTTGACTTTGAATCAAATAGTTTACATGATCAATACACAACAAAACCAATACCAAAGCAAAGCCGAGGACTATTTGGAAACCCATAACAACAAATGTACCTATGTCACCAAATGCACAACATATAAAGTGACTTCAAATGGCTTCATGCTGTGACTGAATAGTCCCCAGTGAAGCCATGTGCCCCAAGAGAGCTAACTGCAAGGCAGTCTGGTAAGGACCCTGACAGAGAGCCATGTGTCCTGAGCTCCCATACTAGAAATACACTACCTGGTCCCTGCATTTTATTTCCTTGCTCACACCTGGGAGGAACTTCCTTAAGGGACTCTGCCCCCCACCCACACGCTGAACTGAAATTGCCTTGAACTTATACCCTAAGGAGTCCTTAGGCCAAGGACTGGCTGGAATGGGCTCTTACCATGTTCTGCAAATGGACAAACTATTTCCCTGCTGACCTGGCCAAGCAGAGCCTTTCTCTGAAGTGGCAACTTGGCTTGATGGCCCCCATCACTGTCTCTCACTAACTTCTAAGGAGAGACCATCCTTGATAGCTGGGCAATAGTGGCACACACCTTTAATCCTAGCACTTGGAAGGCAAGGCAGGTGATCTCCATGAGTTCATGGCCAGCACGGTCTACAAAGTGAGTTCCAAGACAGTCAGAATTGTTACACAGAGAAACTGTCTGAAAAATCCAAAACAAAATAAAACAACAACAAAAAAGACTCACCAGCCTGAGTCCCTTGTCTGGGTGTGCTTCTGGGGATTGTCCTAGAGAACAGATGGTGGCACTGGGATTCTGGGAAGAACCTGGATCCCTCCCAGTCAGATGACAACAAGGGTCTCAGGTGCTCTATCTGCAGGTTCTTGAGATAGTCACCTGTGCTGAGTCAGGACA